CAGTTCACTGTCTCATTTTAAAGAAGTGGTAAATAACTGTTTCTTTTTATCAGTGGTGATTCCTCATAACAGATCTATTAGGAGCTGCCATTGTAAAGAGAGATTAGAGCAAACAATCCCTTTTTTCAGTCTGGGTGAAAATCCCAGTAGAGAGGTCAGTTTCATAATTTTTCATAGATTCTAACCGTAGATATCTGGGATTCCAATTCAGATCTTTATATTCTGAAAATAACTTTCACTTTCATCATCAGAGGCCATGTTTGGTGTCTCTTGTCTAATGTAAGCTGTGACTTTCTCCAGCTTTTCCCTGAGAAGGTGAATACAGGGTGGTAGATTTTTGTCTATTTTGGACACCATTCAGTATATTTTATGCCATATTGGAACAGCATGTTACAATAAATGAAAAGATAGCTTGTAGTGTTATTGCTCTATGCCTTTATCTGCCCAGGAAATAACAGATTGGTGTATTGCAACACACTCAGAAAATGCACCCTGGTTTTAGAGTATTGCACTTCTGGTTTACATTTCCTTTGAAATACCTTTGAAGACCATTCATACTATATTCATGAAACATTCTAACAAGTACTCTCACAACAAGATCTTTCAGAAAATTTAGGGATATGCTATTCAGATTGTTTTGGAGGGGTTTTCATTTTGGGGTTTCCCCCCCCCCCCCTTCTTTGTTCTATATTTCTGTTTTATTAGATGGCCTCATCCTCCTTTCCCTCAGAATCCTTTACTTTTATTGTGTTGCATTTTGCAATTTACTGGCTAATTTGAACTAAGTGGTGGTTTTTACCATTAAAAACAAAGTATATTCAGACTTGTGATTATGTGATTAGTGCATGGAAGATAATATAGGAAAATAAATCTAAGAAAACAAGAGAAAAAGACTGGTTCCAGTATATATGACAACTGTGTCATAGCTCTGCTGTTTATTTGTCTGAATAATGGACAAATGGCAAAACTCCCACTGATTTCAGTGGGAGCAGAATTTAACTCGAAATGAGCAGCTTTCCTACACATCTAATATTCTGAGGACTCAGGTGTTAATTTGCGAAGAAAGATCAACACAGATGGGAAAAGTTATGGCTTGTGGAAGAATAGCTGGTTGAAATGCAGATCCACACAGTGAGGGCCTAATCTGCTTGATGCCACATACTGACTTCAATAAAAGTCAGGGTCCTTGCAAGAATCCAAGCTAAATGTTAGTAAAAAATCTAGAGAGAAGCTAGACAAAACCCCTCACTGGTGTGAAATTGTGTGTACATACAGCCTTCCACATACAGATTTGTACATATGTTTCCTTAGAATAAAATGTTAATAAAAGGAAAATGGCATCCGGGAAGACAAAGCATCCAAGGCAACCCATCTGCACTCTTGTCATATGATAGACTTGGACAAACCTAAAGCTGCCAATACAACTGCTCAAGAAGTATGCCAAGGGAGCAGATGCTACCGCTGCAAGGATATTTTCCAAAGTTTGGCATTCAGGATCTTGTGGTTACCAGAGAGGAAGAGGTGAGGACAAGAAGTGGAATGATGTTGCCTTGGCACCTCCCAGTGTCAGCTTTCACGTTCACTTGAGTTAGATCTTTTCAATTCTTTCTTCTTCTGCTCAAGAGAGGCATCTGGTGTGGAAATGAAAAAGGAAAGCAGCAATGTATGAAAGCAGAATAGTGTGAAACTTGATGCTACTCCTAAAGTATTTATTCAAAGGCAAATTCGTGAATGTATTTAGATTTATGATGCATAATCATGTTTGGGTTAGCAAAAGGCCCACAGAGGTACCAAATAAATATGTGCAATCAGAAGCCAGTGGGGATTTTGTGAACTCAAGTAGTTGGAATAGAAGATTGTTATGATTTTTAGAGAGCAGTCTGAAGGCAATGCCTTTTGGAGAAGAGCAGGTCCTACGGCACCTTTGTTCCCTCAGAAGGCTGGGCATCTGTTTAGGGCACCACATGGGTGGTGAATGTCTGAGAAACAAGGAGCTGCTTTTGTGCAGACTCTTGCACACCAGCAAGACCAGACCACTCCCGGTGAGACATTGCAGTATGTGCTGAGGGTCCTGTGGGACATGGTGTGGGAAATGGGCAGAAGCAGGAGCCACCATGGTACCACTGCTAGCACCTGATGGAGTAAGCTGGGCTTCATGCCCTACCCCTGTGGTCAGCACTACCCACAACCAAATATAGATATTTTCCTTAAAAAAAAAAAAAAAGCTCTCTATAGAATTGTTTAAATATTTTTCATTGTTTTCATTCCCTCTGCATTACTATTTTTAAAAGGGTAACTTGTGTGCAAGCTTTCAGCCTTTCAGGTGCATTGCTTGCAGCCCAGAAAGCCAGCCACGTCCTGGGCTGCATCAAAAGCAGGGTGGGCAGCAGGTCGAGCACCTCTGCTCCACCTTTGTGAGACCACACCTGCAGTACTGCATCCAGCTCTGAGGTCCTCAGCACAGGAGAGATATGGACCTGATAGAGTGAGATCAGAGGAGGGCCACAAAAATGATCAGAGGCTGGAACACTTCTGCCATGAGGAAAAGCTGAAAGAGCTGGGATTGTTCATTTGAGAAGAGAAAGCTTGAGGGAGACTTTAGAGCACCTTCCAGTACCTAAAGGGGGCCTTTAAGAAAGATAGTGACAAACTTTCTAGCAGGGCCTGTTGCGACAGAACAAGGAGTAGTGGTTTTAAACTACAATAGGATCTATTAGACACAAAGAATAAATTTTTTGCCATGAGGGTGGTAAAACAGTGGAACAGATTGCCCAGAGGGGTGGTGAATGCCCCATCCCTGAAAACATTCAAGGTCCGATTGGATGGGCCTGTGAGCAACTTGGCCTAGTTGAAGATGTCCCTGCTCATTACAGAGGGGTTGGACTAGGTGACTTTTAAATGTCCATTCCAACCAAAACTACTTTATGAGTCTGTGATTCACAATCCATGTTGTTATGCCTGATACTTGGCCATATCTGTGAAAAGGTCCCTTCTCTGAGCTAGTCTGAAGAAACACAAGCATATTAATGGTTAATTACCATTAAACCATTAATGGTCTCTGTTTCCAAAGATTTCCAAAAGTTTCTTTCAGGCTTATGCTGATAAGTAATGTTCCAGTAATTTCTTTAAGATGAGAAAATGCTCCTTGAGGCCATGTTCTCAGTTTGTATCAAACTTATTTGTCTTTTGGAATAAAAGTGCTTTTAATCAAGCCCTATCAGCAGACATACTAGTAAGTGATGACCTTTGTTTTGTTTTGGGGTTGGAGAAGGGGGAGAAGGAGGCAGCCTAAAACTCGATTCCTGAGGCTCATCCCTGCCGAGCCATGACCGCCCTGCACTCTCACTGTGCTGTGGAGAGTGCCAGCACCTTTGCTCCCAGCCCCTCCCAGGAGGAGAGAGGCAAGTGAGGGAGCCTCAGCCGAACCTTCCAGCTGCTGGCAACCACCCTGAGGCCGAGGGGAAGGAGCCCCAATGCCAGGAGGAGGGCTGAGCCTGTCCACCCTGCTGCGCTCACGCGCAAGCGAGCTCCATGTTTTCGTAAAGCGGCATTTGCCCTTTCCAGCTGCTGGATGCCACAAAAGGTCACCCAAAATGATCTAAATGCATCGTTTCCCTGGTGTGAAGGATGCAGCAGGGAACCTTGGAATGAAGGCAGTGATTTTTTTTGTCCTGCAAGTGTTCCCTTTGCTGTTATAGTTCCTGTGGCCGAGTGCTGCCGCCGGGTTTGAAATCAGCCTCAGCTTGCTTTCTATCCGTGCTGCGGCCTCTGGCATGGCCAGACCCTCACTCACGGCCCTGGAGTGACTCTCTCAGGTGTGAACTCCATGACAGACCCAGGGACTGAGACCTTGATCTCATTGGCTCTGCACGTTCCTGGAGTGTTGCAGGAACTCCAACCGGCATCTGCCGAGGAGGAGGTTTTATACTGAGTTTGGTAGGATTTGTTCGACCGGGGCTTAGCAGTGTCCTGAGCAGAAAACCACAGGAACCGAATCTTATTTGCTAGGATTGAAGTATAGCAACCAAGGCAGATCATCCTGTCTCGTTGTTTTTATGTGTCCCCGAGTCTAAAGTCATTTTTAAAATGTGAGTGATGCAATTTCTTGCATCTTTCATTTAATATGCTGCTTGGTAAACAGTGTTTTAGATTAGTATATTTGTAATTTAAATGAAGACAATACATCAAGTCAAGTCAGAAAAGAAGGAAGAAGTTTAAGGAATGATTGATGCCTCTTTCAGTGTTATGCCCTCTTCAAAAAGAAAAAAGAAAGCATAAGGAGAGGTGAGAGGTGAGATTATTGAGGATCTAGTGGGGTAAAGGAGAAAGAGAAAAACTGTTGTTCATGGGCAGAAATACACTATTTTTAAAACCACAGTCAGCTCTGATAGCTGAATCTGTTTTCTTCAAGCGCACTAATAAATTCTGCCTAATTCATTTTTTATTCTCTCTTGGGGTCTGCTTGCAGATTTGCCTCAACAAAGGAAGCATCATGTTACTTCTTTTAAATAATTGATGGCTCTTGGTCCAAGCCAGCTTGAAGGAAATTCAAAAATAGGTACTGATTGAGTAAATACCCTGCCTCCCCCTCTACTCCCCCCACCCGTATCCCTTATTTATTTTTGCATCCTGGGTGACTGGCAGTTGCCGGTGATGTCATCGAAGCTTTGGGTACACCCAGCACTTAGCAGCTCTGATTTCATTTATGTATTTATTTATATTTAAGAAAAGGAGAAGCTGTTAATTGTAAACTGTCTGATGGAGCTAAGAGCCCTTAATAAATCATCGGCAGTCTTGTGCCATAACAACCAGGGGTGGACTTTAACAGGTTGAGGTTGGAATCAGTACCAAGAAAGGCTTTGGGGAGACTTGCGTATATTCACACTCCTCTTCTCTGGGTGATGTGGTCTTCTCAGGGCACCCCTGGATCAGTGTTTTCCACCATGTTGCTTGTTTGCAGGCTTTGTCATGCCGCCTCTGAGAGCAACATTGTTTCCACGGAATAAGTAGTTTCACTGGACAACATGGATTTGCTGAAGCTCTGTGATGTCATTTATAAAGACTCATCCTTTGTAATTTACCTTATAAATTATTCATACCCAGGGTGGTCCCAATTAACAGCAAGAAAGCCCAGCAATGTTTTTCTCCTTTTTTTCTCTAGACTTGGAGAGGCAGTGTGCTCTTACTGCAAATATTGCCGCAGTAAGAACATTTTTGGTGTAAAATACTGCATAGGAGAAAATAGTGGCAGAGTTCTCATCTAATGGGTTTTGCAATTCTACTCTGATTTGCAGTCCACGTGGTTCATGCCTCCCCAGTTTTGATAGCAATGAGTTAAAGGACTGAAGAAAAGTTTGTGGAAGGTGACTTACGCGTGAAATTGTTATTCCTCCTAGGTTTTTTTTTTTAAGTTATGTCCGTGTTTCATAACGTTAATCATGCAATGTTGAGTAAATGGTGCTCAATTATAAAGGGGGTTGATGTCTCTAGAAAGAAATAGGGAATTTTTTCTGTTTTTGTTTTTTCCAAGCAGGCAAGTCCTACAGGTCATCTTGATAAAATATTTTAGTGCATGAAAGCAGCACTCATCTAGTAAATAACATAAGGTCTTCTTGACTTTGCAGCATTAGGTGGGCATGCATGCCATTCAGCTAAACTGCTCCAGGGTCCAGTACCTTGGAGAAATTGTCAGGTATTTGCTCTGATGCCGTGCTTGTCACCCACGCTCACTGGGTGTTCTCTGCTGCCTGCTGACGGTGCTAAGGCCACGGAGCAGTTTGAGCACCAGCAGCCATGGCAGGATCAGGCGGGGCCTTTCCAGCTGGAAGAGCAGAGCACCATCAGGGGCATGTCCACATGAGTAGGTGCAGATAGACCGGAGCGGACTGAACGTGGTTTGGCTCTGGTCTGGAAGCCATGGAGCTATTTAATGCAATCCTGTCATCAGGCTAATACTCTTATTGTGTGTTATTGGTTAGATCTAGAAGCTCTAGATGAAGATTGATCTAAAGTAAGCATTGTAAGGGCAGATAATCTGATTTACAAAGAAAGTTTTCTTTGAGAAATGGAGTGATGGAGACAGGTCTGTGTATTTCTCCTCTTCCCCTCTGGAAATGAACCTCTGGGGTCTGTATTTAGGGAAACCAGAGCATACAGGGAGCAGCATGGAGACAGGAGTTCAGTATTTGTGGGGCATTACAATCTAGACAGCAAGAATACAGTGCAAGAATGAAACTTCAAACAATACCCAAAAATGCCTTTCAAAACAAGGCATACAATTGCATATTTGGATATCTACAAAGTGCCCTGTACTTTGAGTAGTTCTTCTGAACCAGTGTGGTGCACCACAATGTATAAGAGCTTTTTTAAGTGGAATATATATGCAGTTTTATTCAGCTGACTGCGGCATTTGGAAACTTTTCTTCTGTTTGGCGAAGTTTGCAAAGAGAATTTAGAGATGTTCACATTGTCTCTTTATCTGCCAAAAGAATTGGTTAAAATTGCTTTGGTGGCGGGAAAACTTAAAAGCAGCACGCCAGCTCACTTTGTGTGTTAGTACAGTCTTTTGCCATAGAGGGAAGTCTAAGACTTGCTGAAGGCACAGCATACCAAGGTATATCTATCATTGTGTGCTTAGCTCTTGCCTTGGAGCTTTTGTTAGATGCAGTGGCCAGGAAAATTGACCTCGTGGGTTTTTTGGGGGGTTTTTGGGTATTTTTGTTTGGCTGGGTTTTTTTTAGGGGGTGGCTCCTGACTCACATCACATGCATATGTAAAGCTGCAAATTTACTGATTTATCAGTGAAAGAAGCACTTAGTTGGGAAAAAGGGGGAAGCCTTGTAATAACATAATCGAGCTTTGAAATCTGAGCTGCGTCAGAAAATATGAGTATGTTATTGGGACCCTTCTATTTGTGAATGTATTGACATATAATGAATATCATGAGACAGAGTAAAGCCAGTTTCTCTGATGGCTGGACTCTCCAGTTCTAAATGCTACTGCAAGCATTCTGTTTGGGAAGGGAAGCTAAAAGTCTCTCAAGGGTACACAGAAAATGCTGATCCTGAATGTATAAATCGACACATTTTAATCCTTACGTTATTAATTATTACCCATGATTAATTGTAACTATTTTATTACTACTCCAAACCCTTGGGTCAAATTGCACACTGAAGTTGGTAAGAAATTTGCTGAAGAATGCCTTGATTTGGTATGTTATCATTTTTATATTGAATATTGGACATTATCAGTTCCATTGAAGAGACCAACTGCTATCATACCATCAAATTACAGGATATATTTGGGTTGCAGGCGTAACTCCATTTCTTTCAGTGTCACCAGATATAACTGTAAATTTAATGCACAGAGGGAAAGGGGAAATAATCCCTTCACCCACAAAGACATAAATTAAATGTTACCCCACGCTAAAAAGTGCAACCTTAAATGAACCTTATGTTCAGGAAAATTCAGTGCCTACATTCAGTGTATATGCTCTTTTCAAGGGGATAGCAAGTACCTTCAGATTAGTCTGAATTACTGAGGATTTTCCAGAGGGAAAGCTGGACACCCCCTCCCTCTGGCCAGCCCTACCTTCCCACTGCCTCTCTCTGCTCAAGTAACCAGAAGAATCTTTTTCTTCTGAACCTATAGCTTGTAATATACATAAAAGCAGAGTTTGCTTTGATCCTGACAGCAAAACGTTTATTTTTAAACTGGAACTGGGCTGTTGTCCAGCAATGCTCTTTCCTTTGCCTCATGCCCTGGGTTTCAGCTCCGCAGCCTGCCTGGGTGCAGCTGGACCTGCTGCAAGAGGGACCTGACTTGATGGGTCCTGCTGAGCTCTCTCCCTCCCTCTCCCCTCATTCCTCCTTCTCCTCTGGTTTTGAAATTCAAATTGAATGCAATTTTCAGCTCATTTGAGCCAGAATATACACTTGCTGAGCTTCAATGCCTCTTAAATTCAGACTCGCAAGAGAAAACAGATATCATCTGTCACCGAGGGTGGGAAAGGGTGTCCTCCCCACATTTTATTCATGGGAGACAGGGCTGCATTGACTAATTCCAGTCTTTCTGACTAATCACTCACTGGCAAACTAATCAGCTAATCGATGTGACTGGTTTCTTGTAGTTTAGTCTCTTCTTTTTCAGGATTTTTTTTTTTTAAATTTCTCCAGCCTATGTAGTATTTATATTTAATGTCCTAGAACTACCCTAGCTGGAACACCTGTGTCCACATTTGACTGTGCCCATTCGTTGCTGGTCTCATTGTCTCTATCACAGATTATTCACTTTAAAGAACTACAGATGAAAATGCCCCAAATTGAATGGTTGGCAGAGAGGGGTGAGAGATTTTCAGAAGAAGGTTAAAAATGGAAAACAGTAAAGGGAGAAAAAATGTTAAATCATTAGTTGTTGTTATGTCAGCAGGTTTAGGACCAGGTACATCTATGGGGTACATACCATAGCTACTTACTCTATAAAACCTGTTTCAAAATAACATGTGGCAATATCTCATGAGTCATCTCATGGGTCCTTGCTTAAAAGTAAAGAAAAATACAACTTGCTATTTTGCCTTACTATTTTTTCTTTTTTAGCATTATTTGTGAAATACAAAAAGACTCTTGCAATGAGGTCCAGCTCCTGCTTTTATTGTTCTCCTTTACAAACTTCTCTTTCATTTGGTGAAAATAGCATTGGTTTGGAGATTGGCAACTACCTTCAGAAGGAAATCTTGCAAGAAACAGCAATTTGGTAGGTGTAAGGGCAAAACTAAAGTACAATTTGTGCTAGTAGAGAAAATAGGTTACTTAATCTAACAGCATGATAG